TATATATATATGTATATATACATATATATATATATATATATATGCCCAAATCTAAGGACAATATTGCATAGGACTTTCCAAATTACCAATATATATATTTGGTAATGGGGATCAAACTCGGGTCCTTGTTCTTGCGAAGCAGGTGATGGAAACACTGAGCTAAATCCCTGGCCCCTGATTATATGTATGTATGTGTGGCCTAATATGCAGGGGACACAGGTAATAAATGTCTTTTAATTATCATTGAAAACACCAGTAAATATTTTTCAAATGAGAAAGAAGGTAATGAATAGATTCAAAACAGACTGCAAGTGTGGACCAGGGCCTCTCAAACAATCTCTGGCATAGGGCCATGTTTTTACATTTCCAGCACAGCGTGCACTTGTGCATAGTCTTGCTGCATGTGGCTAGAGTGCAACTCATGCTACAGGCAGCATTTATCAACACCTGAACAATGTATTCCCTGTGGGCACACACACACGGTCAGCGTGTCCGTCCATCATGGACTTGAATATTACAGTCACATCATATTGTTGTAAGTTTCCAAACATTTGTTTTCAATTTCTGTGCTTAGTTTTTCACATAGTGGCAAGACCATAGCAGAGAAAAACTGGTGTAGATCCCTTTTTTGGAGGAGCTGGTGCTAAGGGAAGGGTAGTTGGTAGGAATGCCTACCATACATTTGGAAGTGCCTTTTGCCTACCTCGGGCCTCTACAGCTTAGAGCTATTTAGAATTATAGTTCATCTATTCTGTCATGGCTGACCTTACCTACTCTCAGGTTTGCTGTGTCTCTGCCTCTGTTTCTGCAGGTTATGGCTTGGAAGTGGACATGTGGGCTGCAGGCGTGATCCTCTATATCCTCCTGTGTGGCTTCCCTCCCTTTCGCAGCCTGGAGAGAGACCAGGATGAGCTCTTTAACATCATCCAGCTGGGCCACTTCGAGTTCCTTGCACCTTACTGGGACAGTATCTCTGATGGTGAGATCTGTACTTCCTTATGCAGGAGAGGAAAGGAGGTGGGGCTGACATACCACCGTGATTCTGACCACAAAGTAGGTTTTTAGGTGTGTGTGATAAGCCACACAGAGGATGCCTGGCATAGAGCTGGACTGCAGAATATCCTGCCTCAGGCTTTATTTCCTCAGCAGCTTCATGGAGGTTTGTGTAGCACTTCCAAAGCATGACTTAATCTGAGATTTAAAGTAAAAATCTAATCACCAGTTGCAGTCACCAAATGCTTTTCTTTAAGGCAATTAAAGAATCTCAGAAACAACTATTCTTTGGAAAGAAACAGCTCATTTTATATACAGAAATGTTTGTGTAAAATAATAAAATAGACTGAAAAATGGTTAGGTACATGTGAATAATCAAGAGTCCTGGGGTTTACTTGGAACATGGGGGCTCTGCAAGGCAAGGTCCCCATTACTTGCATGGTTGTCCCCCCACTTTGGTCCTCAATTCCATTTGATTCTAAATGGAATCTTTCCTTTGTCTCTGCTGTTTTGTTTTACTACATATTTCTCCTGCAAAATTGAGAAATACATACTTTGAGCTTTTGAATATTTGAATCTTTAGCATAAAAAGGAAGAGTGATGCCCCCCATTTCCCCTAAACATGTCATCTATAATTGGTTACTGAATTTCTCCCATCCCCAGCCTCTGTCTCCTCACTGAGATTGGGGGCTAGCAAGGGAAGGAGAGGTGCGACATGCTGAGGAGAGAGTGAGGATCTCGGGATGGTTATATTAGGAACAAGTTGGGAACTGAAGGACCAAACAAAATTTTGGAAAGTCCTATGCAATATTGTCCTTAGATTTGGGCATGGTTGGCCCCTATTCTGGCTCCTATGCCCTAGAGTCTTTATACTACCCCCACTGGGTAAGGACACAGTAGGGCCACAGGGATGTGCCCCCATCTGCCAGAGCCCACATTCCCTCTTTTAAGCTACTCTATCAGGGCCTCAGAATTTCTTATCCAAATGGCACAAGCCATGGCACCAAAGGGTGAGAATGGGTGGGCGGGTTGGAGGGCATAGAGAGAGCTGGGGATGGGGTGCCTGATTGTCCACACACACGTATGAGAGCCTGAGAATTACCAGCTTCAATCTGGCTTTCCAGTGTCTGAGTCGTCTGAGGACCTTAAAGGAGTAATGCTGGTAGTGGTGGGGCCCGGGCACTTGTGGGTAGAATTTTCCTGGCTTGAAGTGGGTGGTTTTGGAGGAGAAATCCTGGAGTTCCTGTGCTTAAGAGGTGGCTGGATAGTGGGTGTGGTGAGGGCATCATTGGTGGGGGAGCAGCTATCTTGAGCAAGAGGCATCCCTCAATAAAGGCAAAAAAATGGAGTTTTTTTCTTGTGCATTTTAAAATTTTTTTATATTTTATTTTTTGAGACAGGGTCTCAATATGTAGTTTAGGCTGGTCTTGAACTCTTTATGTAGCATGGGCTGGCCTCAAATTTGAGGCAACCCTTCTGCCTCCGCCTCTGAGTGCTAGGATCACAGGTGTGCACCACTATGCCTGGCTACTTGTGCATTTCATTTCTTGAGTGATTTGAAGAGAAAACTCCATAAGCCAGGCTGGGAAGAACCAGCAGGCCAGGGAGGGATCATTTCTCCTCTGCACTGTCACCTGGCCCACCAAATACTACCACATCTGTCTAGAATAAGCCATGGTCCTGGGAAGAAAATAACATTTGAATTTGTTCTGTTTACCTTTATATTTCTTTACAAATTCATCTGTTCAATTTTGCCCATATGCAGACATATTTATCAACTAAAGAAGAGTAAAAATATCTTAGTAAGAACTTGTTAATTTGAGTCAAAATGTTAAAGAATTTTAACACGGAGCCTCCATTTGTTTTCTTGCTGTGGGTTCCCGGATGTTAGGTGTGGCCCTATCTCTGTTATTCTAGAGAAATAAACCGAGATAAGTACTCTAGGGCTGGGCTGTCCAGCATAGTACCCTCTGGCTACACATAGCTAAATTTAAATGTGGATTCTTTCAGAGAAAATAAAATAAAATAATCCAACTTTTCAGTCTCACTAGCCAGCTTTCAAAGTTTCTGTAGTCACATGTGGATAGTGCAGGTCTAGAATGTAGTGGATGTGTGTGCTCTTATTTCACGTATGGGGAGGAAGAATTCAGAACCACCCCCATTCACTGCATTTCTCCCTCTTTCTCTCATGCCTACAGCTGCCAAAGATCTGGTAAGCCGGTTGCTGGTGGTAGATCCCAAAAAGCGCTACACGGCCCACCAGGTTCTTCAGCATCCCTGGATTGAAACGACTGGAAGGATTAGCAAGGTGAACCTGCAGAAGGAAGTATCCCCCAGCAGCGAGGGCCGTGTCCGAAGCCAGCACAAGAGGGTTGTGGAGCAGGCATCATAGTCACTGCCTTGGGCGTCTGTTCAATTCTAATTCTGCTTGAGGATGGAGAAAAGGGTGGAAGTCTGGGAGAGAAACAGAGAGGCTCCTGCGCGCAATTGGAGAGTCAGGAGGGATGTGCAGTATATTTTAAAACATATTTAAAGAATAAACTGAGGCACAATGTTAAATGTAACATTTTTAGATTTGTATATTTAAAGCTTTTAATACAATTTTGTTGTTTTTTGGGGAAGAGTGGTCATCAGTGAGGAATTTTTGGTCATCATGATGTGCTTTGCTTCCTCCTTGTAATCAAGTTCTTGATGTACTACATGAGTGGTGCTTACTAGTGTCTAAACTCCCCCATAAAATTATTAAGGTGAATCATGATCTTTCCATGTTAATAAAATAAGCTCTGAATAACAGAGGTGGACCTGTATTCTGATTACTTCTTAATGTTAATGATGAGAGGTGGCGAATTATATTTCAGATATGTCTCCCAAAGCCAAGATGACTACATGTGAGTGTGGTGGACACTTGGTTAATTGACAAGATCTGTTTATATTTTGGATGTATCAGTGAAGGTCTCTAGCACTTCATTGTGACCCAAAATTAGATCTGTCAGAAAAATGGAAAAGAAGAAATATTGAATCATTCTCGCCTCTGCAGTGATCAGTTGTACTGTTTTTCAGTCTCATTATCCCTGAGCTTGAGTCACTTCTACATGAGTCTGGGTTAACATCTTCAGAACACAAGGGAGCTGGTTAGATAAGTAACTCATCAGAGCAGCAGTAAATGGATTGCACAGAGGGCTTGAAGGAACTCCCAAGTTTGGGCACATTCTCACCTGCAGGGCACACACAGAGGGTGCAGGGCACACACCGAGGGTAGAACACATGTTCCAGATTTCAGATGACTCTGGGAATGTGTGAGTTGCAAGCAGAACATATCCTGATATTGTCCACATTGTCCTTTGCACTTTATATGTAACCTGGCTAGTAGGCCACAGAGAGGCTTTTCTCACCCATACTCTGCCCTCTCTTTTGGATTTGGAGTCATCTAGGTGGAAAAGTGTAGCATTAGAGAATTTGGTAGAAGGCATCCTTTAAATAGGTTTTAGAGAGTGGAAAAAGCACAAAGGAGGCTCTGCAATGCGTCAGAGATAGTGAATAAAAAAAGTAGCTTCCATTCCTAGGTAGAGACGAGGGAAGAGGTTGGGGTTTTTAGAACTTAGAAGCATGGGGAATCAACTCCTTGTAGTGGACATTGAAATATGCTGCCTAGATCTTCTTTCAGAGCTGAAAGGAACAAACTGCTTGGCGTTGCTGCCTGACAGCCCTCGGCTACACACAAATTGCCCATAGCTGGGAAGAGCTGGCTTACAGACTCTTCCTGGGGCAGGTCACGTCCAGTAACTCATTATGTAAGGAATGAAGCCTCAGAAGTTTTGCCCCAGCTGAAGACAACACTAAAGGACCCTATAGCTTTCAAGCTGTCCTTGGCGTGACCGCATCACAGCCCAACTTCTCCTTGCCCAGTTTTGCTTCTTCCCTGTCTCTCCGAGTTGATGAACCCAAGAATACTCCTTAATAACCTTTTGCATGCAAATTTTGATCCCATGGTGGCTTACCAAGGAGTCAAATGCATGGCACCTTCCCGAAACCTGGAACTGCTGCAGATGCCAACTGGAGCTTTAGGCCCAGGAGCTCAGAAAAGTGGCCCTGTGGAGTCCCCCATGGGGAGGGTGTTGCCCATAAGGCCATGCAGTGCTACTCATTCTGAAAATATGAAAGAGGCTGGAAGCTGAGTCTCATTTGTACTAGAACATCTTTTGATAAAGACACAAGTGGCCTCCATGTAATGAAGTCCAAAGCATAGTTTTCAATCTTCATGTTACTATCATTTGATCCTATTAATCACTCTCTGAGTTATTTCTACTCCTGAGAGATCACGACTCTGAGTTATTTCTGGAGCTCTTGGAGGACTCAGCCTACATACTGCCTCTTCAGAGAATCTGCCTCCCTACACACTGTCCCACACTTGTTTTAGTCCCTTAATGCCATCCTCACTATCAGAAATGATTTTGCTTGGGGTTTTTTGTTTGCTTGTATGTCCACTCTCTCCATTAGAATATAAGCTCCAGGAGGGCAGGAACCTTCTGTGATGCTATATTTCCCAGTTTTCCTCCTACCTTCTTGTCAATTCCTTTGGATCTCATCAGTTTGGTTGGTCTTTTGGTTGCTAAAAGTTATACTCCCCTCTTAATCATTCAGAAAATGCCAGTTAAAATCATAATGAAATACCACTATATACCGATTAGAATGGTTAAAATGAAAAGACTGACCATACCAACTATTATTGAGAATGTAGGAAAACTGGAATTTTTGTACATTGCTGTTGGGAATAGAAAATGGTACTGCTCTTTTGGATAACAGTTCGGCAGTTCTGTGAAGGTTAAATGTATACCCACTATATGATCTAACCATTCTACCACTAGTTATCTGCCTTGAAAAAAAAAATATGTTCTACAAAGATTCTGCAATATTTATAGGTGATTCATTAGTAGTAGCCTGAAAGTGGAAACACCTAGAATAGCTATACATTGGTGAATGGGTAAACATATGGTGGTATCTTCACACAATCAGTAATTTTCATCCATGAGAAGGAGTGAAGTACTGATATATATGGACCACAGGAGTGAATCTCCAAATAATTAGGCTGAATCTATGAAGTCAGACCAAAAACACAACACAACAAAATGCTCCAAATCAAACTAAACCAAACCAAAACACACTGATTATTCCATTTATATGCATTCTACAAGATACAAACTAATCTGTAATGACAGGCAGATCAGGTGGTGCCCTGGGGCAGATGTGGGGAGAGGAGGGAAAGAAGGACTACAAAGGGACACATTGGGAATGATGGGCTTTTACATTATCTTGAATGTAGTATTAATTCACAGGTGTATACATCTCAAAACAGTAAACTGAATAGTTTCGGTATGTACAATTTTCAGTGTAATGTATCTCAATAAAGCTATGAAAATATGGTTGCAGTTCCTCACAGTAAAGTCCTGGGTTTTCTTCTCTGTAGTTTCGCCCTTGGCAGTGTCATCTACACTGCCCATCTACTTGTGGGTGATTCTCTTCTCCTCACTTCATTTGTTTCTCCATTCAAGGCTCTTCCTCTAGACTGTAGTCCCATCTGTCCAACTGCCTACGTAACATGACCATGTGTAGGCAGTGGCTTCTCTCAGGTAGATGGATAATCATCACCCCCCCAATGGTCCTCCATCATTGCTCCCTCCCTCAGGGAATGGTATGCTAAGCAAGTTCAAAATACTGGCACCACTCTCATTGTCTTCGTTTCTGTCCTTTGAATCCAGCTTATCACCACTGATTTTACTTCCTCTGTGTCACTTGAATTTATCCACTTAAACTTGCTTTGTTTCCGTCCTGGGGACATTCAGGCTATTTCTGACTGATTTTTCAGTATTTATGAATGTGTTCTACTTACTTTGCTATATGCATTCCTGTGTACATTTGGGAGAATTTCTCTTAAGGAAAATCTTTTACTTGACCAAATATTGCCAAATTGATTTTGAATTAATTTATCTTTCCATAAAGGTGAATGAAAGTTTTTCTTTCCTTTTATGGTCTGCCATATGGTTTGTTGATTGACTGCAATGTAGTACTGGGGATTGAACCTAAAGTCTCATACATGCTAGGCAAGCGTGTTACACTGAACTATATTCCTTGCTCTTTTTATTTTATTTTATTAGTACATACTGTTTTACTTTGTAAATGCATTTTACATTCATTTTGGGGACTTGATACGTGTGTATAATACAGCTTGTCTCTTTGTTTAATCCCCTTCCTTCTCCCCCTCTCTCTCCTCTCTCCCTTTTACCATTTTCATTCTTGTTAATATCATTAATCTCAGTTAATGTTTGTGGTGTATAATGTTCACATGAATTGATGTTATTATTCATGGCGTATCTTCACCTATTTTCTCATCTCCTCCCTTTCACCCTTTGTCCCCTGGACCCCTTCCCATCTGCAAGAGATTCATCTTCTTGTCTCATTCTATCCTTCATTTTTCTCTTAGTTTGTACTTTGCCTCACTCAGATGAGAGATGCCATATGCTATTCAAGTTTGTGTTATTTTATCTTTCAGATGTTATCTCACTGAACTAACCTGCCCAGGCTTTGAATCCATAGCCTTTCTCTTGCCTTAGCCTTCCAAGTATTGAGCCCACGGCCTTGTACATGCTGGGAAAGTACTTTGCCACAGAAGTACACTCTCAACCAAGTGCTACTATTTGGACACAACTGAAAAGTAACAATAGAGATGCTAATTTCTAAACTTTGATGATTGTGTAGCATTTTATAGCTCCAGGGTTAAATTTAATGTATATTTCATTCTACCCTAAACAAAAGCATCAATTTACAGATGGGAAGACTGTGGCTCAGAGAAGTAACTTGACCTGCCCATCATCTCTTGGCTTACTAAAAATGCCAGCCACTAGATATGGACTCTGGTGCAGAGTGACACCAGGCCTCCAGTTCTCAAGCCGCTCCTCTGCTTCTGACCTTGCCGGTGCCCTGGAGTACACATGTGACTTGGATTGTATTTTGAACACAACAAATTGCCTTGCTGTGACCTATAGGACCCATATGCTCTGACTCTCAATACTACTCTGATTTCATCTTCCACCTTTTCCCCATTGTTAGTTCTACTGTCATCCCCCAAACGCCTCTGTGACTCCTCAAACACAGCCATCTTCAGCTTTGGGAGCCTTTGTACTGTTTCCTATCTCTGGAATGATTTTCCTCCTGTCCTCTGAGGTCTCAGCTCACATGCTGCTTCTTCAGATAATCTGCCTCCCTTAGACACTGTCCTACCCTTGTTTCATTCCTTTAGTTCCATACTCACTATCAGAAATGATTTTGTTTGAATTTTTTTTTGTCCGCTTGTCTGTCCACTCCCTTCCACTAGAATGTAAACTCTAGGAGGGCAGAAGTCTTTCTGTGCCATCAGTGTCTAGAATAGTGCCTAGAAAAATTTAGGCTCACAGTAAATATTTGTTGCATGCACGAAGCAATCTTTGATTCACTGATGAGGTAATCAAGGCTCCAAGGCATGAAGGATATAAACAGCAGAGCTGAGATCTGAATTCATAATTATCAAAAACCATTAATTTTTCCAACATGCTACTCTGCCTGTGGAACCTGCAAAAGCTTACCTCTCCTCCATTCAGTATCTTAAACCTGAGTTTTATGATCCTGCATATGGTTCTGTGTAGATCACCATGGTTACTCCTCTATGGTAGAAACTAATGGCTGAGTTTCTGTTTGGTAGAACCTCCATTGCTGGTTTAAGTTCATTGAAAGAGTATATTTCTTGTTTTAGCTTTTCTTCAATTGTAGTACATTTTATAATTGATAAGTACTTAATACCATTTCCTTTCCAATTTGAAATCTCTCATTAAGCATAGGGTATAACTTATAGTCATGTCAGCTCTAGAATCTGGAAGAAACCCACAGTGAAATTTCTATAAGTGTTTTCCAGAAAGCAGTAGTACTTGGGATAAGTAGTAGAAATTTCTGTATCTTGTTTGGGTTGTATTTTTTTCTGTTTCACACAGATACTGTACAGAGTAGCATTGGACATTTATTTTGTGGTTAATGGTATATTGCTTTTCTCCCTGTCTGTCTTCCTGATAGGATCTTGGAATTGAATAATATAAAAACATAACGATATATCTAGATTTGTTCTGACAAGTTTCACATCACTGACTATACTTGGAGAAGAAAATTTGACCTTAAGATGAATTACATTGAGAAACCCAGCTGCTATTATGAAAACCATTCAGCACAGAGAAAATGATGTGTCTTTTGTTGTGGTACTCATGTAATTTATGTCAACAGAAAGCCAATAACTTCATCACGATCTGAAAGCAAATTTCACTCGAGGCATCATGTGCTCTCTCCAGGCCTGATAGAAGTCTACATACCCTTTACTCTAATTTCCCAAGTGAACTTTGGTGGGAGGTGGGTGTAGGGGAAGCCAAATGGCCCCCGGATGCATCTCGTCTCTTGTCAGTCACCACCAGAGTCTGTCAGGCATCTGACAGCAAGAGGTTTATGCAGGAGCGTTACAAAGTTAATGCTGGAAACAGAAATTGTGGCTGCAATAAGGATACTTCCTAACACTCGAGTGTCATTTTAAATGGACACCTTTAAATTGATGTAGTCCTCCAGCAAATGTAGAGTCAGTCAATCTTAATGCAAGCTGCTTAATTAATATTTGAGCTTGGTTTCTCTATGTGGACACAGTAGATATAAATAGTCTGAAACCTTAAGTGTGCAAGAGTTATCGGATAATTTTATTTTCTGTAAATCTATTTTTGTTCTATTGCTTTTCCTTGTCACTCTAGGGCCTGAGAATCTTTCCTACAAATGCCAGGGATTTTATCTCCATGCTCACACTAATTATTCCTTCTGGGATCCTGATCGCTCTGTGGGTCTCTGCTTAGATGACTGGAAACTCAGAGGCCATATAGTTCTCTCTCTCTTAATTTCTTTCAGCCAGGAAGAGTCTCTTTGTGTGGACTTTGGGAGAAACTTTTATTCTTTCTTTTCTCTATATAAATTCCTTTCTCAGCATATGCCCTTTACAGTTCTCCAACTTCTCTCCTGGACAGGGCTAGGATTAAAGTGAGATCGAGGAGTCATCCTCCTCAGTTACTACACTTAAGAATATACCCTAAAATCATGTTTATTTTGGTATTATTTTTATTCTTTAATACATTGCATTAAAATATTATTTACCTCGATTACTGATTTTTTTGGTTGTGTCTAAAATTTTATAGCCAAGAATAGTGCCTTACTAATCTCACCCTACCTGCAGCCACAGTTTTTGGAAACCAACAGTAGATCCTGTGGCTTCCTCCTGTTTTCTGTCTTGACTGGATCCTGAGAATAAGCTTGAATTGAGGGATAAGAAGGGGAAATTTGGGGAGGACAAGCCCTAAATTACTATCTCAAGACCTTTGGTCATGAACAAAATTAGAGGCTTGGCTGTCTCATCTTATTGCAGATGTCACACATAGGCCTCTAATGCCACACAAAGGACAGGGCTGCCATTGGAGTCTTGGAGAATACATTTATCTCTTCATCTACCTCTACCATCAGCAGCAACTACTTTGCTTTTCAGCTCAGATTTGTGGCTATGAGGGTGTGGCCAACTGACAGTCTACGAGCAAAATCACAGCAGAGATATTAGCAGACTCTGAACATTGGACATCTTAGTTTCATTTTTCCTCATTCCTTTGAGGCTTGACTTACTTTCTAGCTACAGCCCCAAGCAGCTCTGCACTTTCGCAGTCATTTAGAAACAAAACCCAAAACACTTTTTTTTCCAGAACAGCCTCTATTCTCCAAAATGAGACAAGTGAAGCTTGATTCTATTTTTATACAGAGGCTCAACTCCTGCCCAGTGGCTCCTGTACAGCACAGTTATTGGAGTGTGTGTGGGTGTGTGTGTGTGTGTGTGTGTGTGTGTGTGTGTGTGTGTGTTCAGACCTCAGGGTGATTCCTTTTATCACATTTCTCACTTCAGCTTTCCCCTTAGGAGAAAAATCAGCACCAGGGAAATAATATAAAGTTGTGAAAATTCAGAGCTCTCCCCGTGCCTGGAATCATTGCCGCCTGAGCCTTTGTAGCTGAGAGGCATCTGCCTTTCAAGCTGTATGGCCTGGCTTTTTCAGTTCTCATAAAAATCCTTTAAGGGATGAACATCATTTTGTTTTCTGCACTTTGCCTGCTGTTTTGAAAATAAATGGAAGCACCATGGGATATTTTGTTTCATGTTTGCTGTGGCAAAGTCTTCTTTTGGTGAGCTCTCTAACACAGGCTTCCCTCCTTTCTATTCACTCGGAGTGAACTGTGTTTTGTTTTCTTAGGTTGTGTGTTTCTTGCTTTCTTCACATCCCTCCTAAA